GCTCTTCTGTGAGTAGAAGACCTTCAGCTCTTCTATGGAGAAGACCTTCAGCTCTTCTGTGAGTAGAAGACCTTCAGCTCTTCTGTGAGTAGAAGACCTTCAGCTCTTCTGTGAGTAAAAGACCTTCAGCTCTTCTATGGAGAAGACCTTCAGCTCTTCTATGGAGAAGACCTTCAGCTCTTCTATGGAGAAGACCTTCAGCTCTTCTATGGAGAAGACCTTCAGCTCTTCTATGGAGAAGACCTTCAGCTCTTCTACAGAGAAGACCTTCAGCTTTTCTACAGAGAAGACCTTCCGCTCTTCTACAGAGAAGACCTTCCGCTCTTCTACAGAGAAGACCTTCAGCTCTTGTACAGAGAAGACCTTCCGCTCTTCTACAGAGAAGACCTTCAGCTCTTCTATGGAGAAGACCTTCAGCTCTTCTTTGGAGAAGACCTTCAGCTCTTCTTTGGAGAAGACCTTCAGCTCTTCTATGGAGAAGACCTTCAGCTCTTCTAGGAGAAAACCTAAGGCTCTTCTAGGAGAAGACTTTCAGCTCTTCTAAGAGAAGACTTTCAGCTCTTCTAGGAGAAGACCTTCAGCTCTTCCAGAAAAGATGAGAAGACGTTCATCTCTTCTAGGAAAAGACCTTCAGCTCTTTTATGAGAAGACCTTTAGTTATTCTATGAGAAGACTTTCAGCTCTTCCAGAAGAAGACCTTCGCCCCTTCAAGGAGAAGATCTTCACCTCTTCTATTATAAGTCCTTTTACACTTCCAGAAAAAGACCTCCAGCTCTTCCACAAGAAGACTTTAAGCTCTTTAAGGAGACCTTCATTTCTCCCATAATTCGTATGTTTCATTTTTTTTTTCGTTGCAAATCTATTATTACCTCTTGGCTTACCTTCCCCTCATCACATTTAAATTGCTAATTTGTTGCCAAATTAAATACGGGACCGTTGCAATGGTGAGCTCCCATCGGGTGCAAATTGATTGGAATCACAACAGTATCTCAAATGCTTACACAGCGGTAAATAGGTTTCCCTTTGCAGCAGAAAAACCCTTCTTGCCATGCGGCGGAACTAAACAGCCAATATGCTGCCAGCTGTTTTTTAAATATAAGAACCGTTCATTCTTTTCATTGACTTGTTAATGTCTCTGTCCCGGCTGGAAGCATTGCAATGTCATTGCAGCTGAGGAAAACAAGGAATGGAGATAAAGAACTGTTAGCGCCCCAGCCGCATCATCATGCCACACGACACCAAAACAAAAAAATAAAAGAATATTGGAATCTGCAACTAAGCTTCCAAATCATGAGCATGAATTTGCTGCTGCATCAGCAATTAGATAGTGGCATGGATAAGATGAAGCACACACATTCCAAGCGCATCATCCTCAATTCGCATTAAGTATTGAATGAATGACTTCCAGATCTGTGTGTTGTGTGTGAGTGTGCATCTGTGTTTGGGTGCCCGATAAACATCTTTGATCCGTGTAACTGGTTTTAATACAATTTTGTCACCCAAAAAAGCAATGCCTCCAACGGCACTGTTCTGCTTCGGCCAGCCAACCAACCGACCAGCTGGATTTAAATTGAAATCACTTTCTGGTGAATTGGAGGCACAACAAGTTGATTGCTGTCGTTGTCTGTCTGATCTCTGGTTTTCGTGTGTGTGTGTGTGTGTGTGTGTGTGATTTCTCTTTGTAGAAACTTTGTATGTGGGTCTGTCCGCACATTGACTTCACTTAGCCTCCAGTTTGTTTGTCAGTCATGTTAATTGTTAATTTTATTATTTTATTATTTGTTCGTTTCGCATTTTTTTTCGCTTTTTGTTTCCACATTTGCCAGGTCTTATCATCATCATCGCCATCGGCATCGCCATTGTCGGTCGTCTACACGACCACGGCGACAAGATAAAAAAGGGCGTTTCATATGATCCAAGTGCGAGATTCCTAAACGCCTTTGACTTGAGTTAGGGTTTTAGGTTGGGGATTTGGGTGGGGGTCACAGGGAGGGGGTCCACATAACGTCATCGTTGATCTGCGTTGAAATGGATGGAAAAAATATTAAGTCTGGTTGCTGGATTTGTCTGGGTTTGGGTTGACTGCTCAGTCAGCCAGACACTTGAACCATTCTTTGAGCAATGTCTTTTTATTTAATATTAATCAATTGAAATTAATTCCAGTTAAATTGAGGTTACGAAGGAGAGATTTAAAAACAAGAAAAAAAAAAAACAACAACAATAACGGCGTCATGACAATAGATTCTGGTTAAATCTATTTTAGAAACTAATGAAAAAATTAAATTAAAAATAAATCTCATATGTCTCCTCGTAGAAGACTCGGAGGTCTCCTCAATGAAGACTATGAAGGTATTCTCATAGAAGACTCGGAGGCCTCCTCATAGAAGACTTGCAGGTCTTCTCATAGAAGACTCGGAGGTCTTCTCATAGAAGACTCGGAGGTCTTCTCATAGAAGACTCGAAGGTCTTCTCATAGAAGACTAGAAGGTCTTCTCATAGAAGACTCGGAGGTCTTTTCATGGAAGACTCAAAGGTCTTCTCATAGAAAACACGGAAGCCTTCTCATGAAGACTCTTAGGTCTTCTCATGGAAGACTTGATAGTCTTCTCATAGAAGACTCATAGATCATACAAGACTCGAAGATCATAGAAGACTCGGAGGTCTTCTCATAGAAGACTCGGAGGTCTTCTCATAGAAGACTCAGAGATTTTCTTATAGAAGACCCGGAGGTCTTCTCATAGAAGACTCGGAGGACTTCTCGTAGAAGACTCAGAGATTTTCTTATAGAAGACCCGGAGGTCTTCTCATAGAAGACTCGGAGGTCTTCTCATAGAAGACCCGGAGGTCTTCTCATAGAAGACTCGGAGGTCTTCTCATAGAAGACCCGGAGGTCTTCTCATAGAAGACCCGGAGGTCTTTTCATAGAAGACCCGGAGGTCTTCTCATAGAAGACCCGGAGGTCTTCTCATAGAAGACCCGGAGGTCTTCTCATAGAAGACCCGGAGGTCTTCTCATAGAAAACTTGGAGGTCTTCTCATAGAAGACTCGGAGGTCTTCTCATAGAAGACTCGGAGGTCTTCTCATAGAAGACTCGGAGGTCTTCTCATAGAAGACTCGGAGGTCTTCTCATAGAAGACTCGGAGATCTTCTCATAGAAGACTCGGAGGTCTTCTCGTAGAAGACTCGGAGGTCTTCTCATAGAAGACTCGGAGGTCTTCTCTTAGAAGACTCGGAGGACTTCTCTTAGAAGACTCGGAGGTCTTCTCTTAGAAGACTCGGAGGTCTTCTCTTAGAAGACTCGGAGGTCTTCTCATAGAAGACTCGGAGGTCTTCTCGTAGAAGACTCGGAGGTCTTCTCATAGAAGACTCGGAGGTCTTCTCATAGAAGACTCGGAGGTCTTCTCATAGAAGACTTGGAGGTCTTCTCATAGAAGACTTGGAGGTCTTCTCATAGAAGACTTGGAGGTCTTCTCGTAAAAGACTCGTAGGTCTTCTCGTAGAAGACTCGTAGGTCTTCTCATAGAAGAATCGAAGAATACTTATGAGAAGATTTTTCAGCTCTTCTATGAGAAGATTTTTCAGCTCTTGTAAAAGAAGATCTTTCAGCTCTTCTATGAGAAGATCTTTCAGCTCTTCTATGAGAAGATCTTTCAGCTCTTCTATGAGAAGATCTTTCAGCTCTTCTATGAGAAGATCTTTCAGCTCTTCTATGAGAAGATCTTTCAGCTCTTCTATGAGAAGATCTTTCAGCTCTTCTATGAGAAGATCTTTCAGCTCTTCTATGAGAAGATCTTTCAGCTCTTCTATGAGAAGATCTTTCAGCTCTTCTATGAGAAGATCTTTCAGCTCTTCTATGAGAAGATCTTTCAGCTCTTCTATGAGAAGATCTTTCAGCTCTTCTGTGAGAAGATCTTTCAACTCTTCTATTAAAAGATCTTTCAGCTCTTCTATGAGAATATCTTTCAGCTCTTCTATTGGAAGATCTTTCAGCTCTTCTATGGAAAGATCTTTCAGCTCTTCTATGGAAAGATCTTTCAGCTCTTCTATGGAAAGATCTTTCAGCTCTTCTATGGAAAGATCTTTCAGCTCTTCTATGAAAAGATCTTTCAGCTCTTCTGTGAGATGATCTTTCAGCTCTTCTTTGGAGAAGATCTTTCAGCTCTTCTATGGAGAAGATCTTTCAGCTCTTCTATGGAGAAGATCTTTCAGCTCTTCTATGGAGAAGATCTTTCAGCTCTTCTATGGAGAAGATTTTTCAGCTCTTCTATGGAGAAGATCTTTCAGCTCTTCTATGGAGAAGATCTTTCAGCTCTTCTATGGAGAAGATCTTTCAGCTCTTCTATGGAGAAGATCTTTCAGCTCTTCTATGGAGAAGATCTTTCAACTCTTCTATGGAGAAGATCTTTCAGCTCTTCTATGGAGAAGATCTTTCAGCTCTTCTATGGAGAAGATCTTTCAGCTCTTCTATGGAGAAGATCTTTCAGCTCTTCTATGGAGAAGATCTTTCAGCTCTTCTATGGAGAAGATCTTTCAGTTGGCTTTCAGGTCTTCTAGGAGAAGATCTTTCAGCTCTTCTATGAGAAGATCTTTCAGCTCTTCTATGGCGAAGACCTTTCAGCTCTTCTATGGCGAAGACCTTTCAGCTCTTCTATGGCGAAGACCTTTCAGCTCTTCTATGGAAAGATCTTTCCGCTCTTCTATGAGAAGATCTTTCAGCTCTTCTATGGAAAGATCTTTCCGCTCTTCTATGAGAAGATTTTTCAGCTCTTCTATGAGAAGACCTTAAGCTCTTCTCTTAAGAAAAATCTTCTGACCCCGTATTTTAAGACCTGTTCTTGTTTCAGGAGATTAAATTCTGCTCTTCTGTGAGAAGACCTTCAGGTTTCCTGGAGAGAACTTGGTGGTCTTCTATAAAAAGCCTCCAATATTATTTATTTTTAATCCTGTCAATTTTACAACTGTTTGATAATACTCTTTTTTTCCTTTTCCCAATTTCCTAGGACTACGACGAAAACTTCGACGAAGACATGGAAGCTGAACGTGATTTGGCCGAAGATGCCCAATGGAAGAAGATCCAACAGAACACCTTTACCCGCTGGGCCAACGAACATCTGAAGACCATCGATCGCAGCATTAGCAATTTGGAAAGCGATCTTTCCGATGGCCTGCGACTGATTGCCCTCATCGAAGTGCTGTCACAAAAACGCATGCCCAAATACAATAAAAGGCCAACATTCCGTTCACAAAAATTGGAAAATGTCTCGGTGGCATTGAAATTCCTCGAAGATGAGGGTATCAAAATTGTTAATATTGGTAAGTTGTTCTCACGTTCATATTTCGGGTTTTTAAATTTCAATTTAAAGAGATTTGAAAAAAAAATAATTGTCTACTTTCGAAACTATAATTGAAAGTGTTAATAATTAAACAGAAAGCAAGTGTAACAACACAAATTTTTAGACAAATTGTTGTAATGATTTCATCGTTATCATCATCGTTCACAGATGATTTCATAGCCTCCCCAAGCCACAACCACATTGCCTCTAGTGACTGGGTTACATTCATTGTCATTGCACCCATCCCATCCCCTTTGTTGTAATCGCTCTGGTCTGGTATTGAGACTGACTGTGTCATTTGATAATTATATGTGCACACACACATTCATACAACAAAAAAATATCAGTACCATGTGGCCCAGAGCTGAGTTTCAGTTTTTTCACGATTTATTTTTTTCTTAACGAGAATTTAAATATCAACAACAAAAACTTCAGTGTTCCATATTTTTTTATGTTTTAGGTGTTTTTCATGGACTCCAATTAAATAACCGAATTCTTTTGATAAATACCATTTCCCAAGGGGTTTGGGTATGTGTGTGCCTGCTTTAGGGTATTGCATAATGCCACTCCATATGCCTCAACTTGCGTATTTTATTCAAAATTCAACAGTTCTTGCGAAATGTTAATTTTGGTTATGCGGGTAAAGTTCTCGGCTTCTTATCTTTGAAACTGTTTAACAGCATTTACAGTTGTGGGCAATAAAAGAGCAATAAAATACGAATAGAAGCCTAGAGGTGTTTCATTTATGGGAGTCTATTATTCATGGGAGATGCTCTATGAGAAGACTTTCTCTTCTCAGCTCTTCTATGGGAAGACCTTTTCATCTCTCCTAAGAGATGACTCTTTTATGAAGACTTTCAGCTCCTAAGAAGAAGATGTTCAGCTCCTCAAAGATAAGACTGTCAGCTCCTCTGTAGACTCTTCTATGAGAAGGCCCTTTGGTCTTCAATGAGAAACCCTTCGGTCTTCCATGAGAAAAACCTAAGGATTTCTAAGAGAACACTCCTTGATCTTTTACGAGTAGACCCTTTGGTCTTCTATATGAGAAGGCCCTTTGGTTTTCTATGAGAAGACCCTTTGGTCTTCTATGGGAAGACTCTTTGGTCTTCTAGCCTACTTTCAGAAGACTTTTTGGTTCCCAGCAAGAAGACCCTTTATTGGTCTATAAAATTCACCCTTTTGGCTTCTTTAGAAAAATCCTTTAGTCTTCTATGAGAAAGACCTTTGAACTTCTATGAGAAGACCCTTTGGTCTCTCATACATCAGTAGACCCTATCATCTTATACGAAAAGACCCTATTATCTTATACGAAAAAACCCTATGGTATTTTACGAGAAGACCTTCTCAGCTCTTCTGTGAAGATCTTCAACTCCCTTTAGCCCCTTAAGGAGAAGTTTTTCAGCTCATCTAAGAGAAGACTCTCAGGCCCTGTGAAGATACTTCTATGAGAAGGCCCTTGGTGTGGTGTGCTGAGATAGAACTTTCCGGTCCTTTCTCAGAGACCCTTTGGTCTTCTATGAGGAAAGCACTTGTTCTTCTAGGAAAAGACCTCCTGGCTTTTTATAAAAGGACGTCCTGACTCTTCTATGGAGAAGTCCTCCTGGTTCTTTTATAGAAAAGACCTCCTGGTTCTTCTATGGAGAAGACCTCTCAGCTCTTCTATGGAGAAGACCTAGAGGTTTTATATGGAGAAGACCTTTCAGCTCTTCTATGGCGAAAACCTATCACCTCTTCTATGGAGAAGACCTTTCAGCGCCTCTTCTATGGAGAAGACCTTCCAGCGCCTCTTCTATGGAGAAGACCTGTCAGCTCTTCTATGGAGAAGACCTGTCAGCTCTTCTATGGAGAAGACCTGTCAGCTCTTCTTCTATAGAGAAGACCTTTCAGCTCTTCTTCTATAGAGAAGACCTTTCAGCTCTTCTATGGAGAAGACCTTTCAGCTCTTCTATGGAGAAGACCTGTCAGCTCTTCTATGGAGAAGACCTGTCAGCTCTTCTATGGAGAAGACCTGTCAGCTCTTCTATGGAGAAGACCTTTCAGCTCTTCTATGGAGAAGACCTGTCAGCTCTTCTATGGAGAAGACCTTCTCCTGGCTTTTCTCTTTTTCTGGCTTTTCTATGAGAAGACCCTTAAGATCTTCCATGAGAAGATCCTTTTGCCTGGATGAGAAACCCTTTTTTGTCTTCGAATGGAAGACCAATTGGTCTTTTATGAGAAGATCTTTCTGTCTTCTACCAAAATACCCTGTGAGAAGACTGTTTGGTCTTTTAAGGAAAGACACCCTAGTCTTCTATGAGGAGATCCTTTAGTCCCCTATGGGAAAACACTGTGGTCTTCTTTGAAACGACTCTTTGGTCTTCTATGAGGAGATCCTTTAGTCCCCTATGGGAAAACACTGTGGTCTTCTTTGAGACGACTCTTTGATCTTCTATGAGATGACCCTTTTCCGTAAGAAGACTGTTTGGTTTTCTGTTGTGTTTTGTGTCTTCTTTGAAACAGCCGTTTGTTCTTCTAAGAGCAGACCCTTCAGTCTTCTATGAGAAGACCTTTTCCTCAAACGCGATAAGAAGTTTCTTCTGGCTCTTCTATGGGGTTCTATAAGATACGAAGCATAAAGCTCCATTTAGATATCCTCCCTTCTTTAAATTTCGAGATTGCTATTTATTTATTCAGAACAGTAAATATTTGGGTGGAGTAACCAAAAATAAATTTTAATTCTTGGTGTTAGGAGGTCGGTCAGTGGATTTAAGACGAATTTGTGTGTTATATGACGAAATTCAAGGCTAAGCTCTGGAGTAATGAAACAAAAAAACCGGCGGGATATCCAAATCAATGGAGGAACACACACGTCTGATGAAAAAAAAAACAACAATTTTTGCCTGCCTTTGTGACGGCGGCATGCGTTGTGTGCCAAAGTAAATGTTAAATATTTTTGAGTATTGTTTTCAAAGCCTGAATCCACTTTGGAGCCCCCTCAAAAAAGATGACATCATATGCCAATATTTTGCCGTTTTATTTTTTCAAGTTTTTACTTTCATTGGAATGTTCGTTGGTGTTTTTGTTGAGTTTGTTTGTGCATTTTGTGAGTTTTGTTAATTTTTTATTTTCATTTTTTATTTATTTATTTATTTTTTTTTTTTTTTTTGTATATTTCACCTGAAATGCATTCAGTGCTGCACTGCTCATTTGGCCAGCCAGCCATGTGAATATATAACTCAACGACCGTATCTAGACGTTTACATCCGTCTGTCTCTCGATTTGGTGGCTATCTACAGTCTATTGAATGTAGAAAAAAATTGTTGTTATTCAGTTACTGTTTTTTTTATTTTTATTTGTAATACCTATTTTTGCCAATTTGTTTTGTGTTCAATATTTGTTGATGTTTTGGTTTTTTGTTTAAAGCTTATTGAGCACGTTTTATTGTAATGTTCAAATGCAAAAAAAAAGTTAAAACCAAAAAAAAACGTTACTCATTCTCTACCATTCAGGGGTGTTGATGACTTTGAATGCAGTTCCAAGTTTTTAACTTGAGTATGACAATTTTTTTTTTTCTATAAAAAGTAATTAAGCAAAAATGTATCTGTTTAAGTATCGGTTTTCATTTTGGCAATGTAAGTGATAAACAAGTGTTTTTATTGAATTGAGTTTAGGAACTACAACTTTTCGTAAAAGGCAAATTAAGTTTGTCTCTAATTCTCTAAATTTGGTTAAATTTAAGTATCATATTTGATATAAGTATCAAAATAAAATGTTTGGATTTAATTAATTAATTTGGCTTATTTCTTGTCTACTGAACTAAAATTCAAAATTGATTAAAGATCTATATTTCAACACGATTTTGATTTTTTAACACCAAAAAGTACGATAAAACGAAAGTTGATTAACATATCGATAGATTTTAATTAGACAAATATGTACGCCATAATATTGTTGCTCTACAATTCGAATGTTAATCAATATAATTTTAAATGGCTTCTTCTTTTTACAACACGCGCCATCTATATTTCAGTTTAATGCGTCTTAGTGCTTTCCAAAGACAACACAAATATTTGGTGACTATATCTTATTTGACAGCATAATCATACACATTGATTTAAACCAGTCCGACTTTATGATACCCTACACCACTTTGCTAATATAGTAGAGCTACGCATAACAATTAAACGTTTTTATGGGAGAATTCAGTCATACACGCTATGATTATAATTATAATTTAAAGTTCAATGGACTAAATATGCCGAAGCATTTGTATCTTTAAAATTCGGACTTGTATTGCCTATGTGGTGCAAAATTATATGGGAGCTATATCGAAATCTGAACCGATCACGATAAAAATTGGCAAAGATATTTCTGAGCTGTATTTCATATATTTCTCTGAATATCGTTGTTACGGAGTGCATATTACGGCTGTGGGTAACAAATATAACAAATCGGATGAACAATATATATGAGAGCTATAGCTATATCTGAACCGATCTTCACCAAATTTGGCACACTAGCTTCTAGACTCAATTCGGTCGCATGTGCCAAATTCCGTCTCATTTGGACAAATATTAGATGTTTGGTGTACAATAAAATGTAAATCGGACGAAGTTATATATGGGAGCTATATCCAAATCTGAACCGATCTCGATAAAATTTGGCAAAGGTATTTATGAGCTGCATTTGATATATTTCCCCAAATATTGTTGTTACAGAGTGCATATTACGGCCGCGGAGGACAAAAATAACAAATCGGATGAACAATATATATGAGAGCTATAGCTATATCTAAACCGATCTTCACCAAATTTGGCATACTAGCTTCTAGACCCAATTCGGTCGCATGTGCCAAATTCCATCCCATTTGGGCAAATATTAGACGTTTGGTGTACAATAAAAGGTAAATCGGACGAAGTAATATATAGGAGTTACATCCAAATCTGAACCGATCTCGATAAAATTTAGCAAAGGTATTTCTGAACTGCATTTGATATATTT